AAAAAATCTAGAAATTGGGCGAAATTCCAGTTTTATGAACCTAAAAGGCCAAAAAAGGAGGAATAGTCATGGCGAGACGATGACTAATGTTCCTTAAGTCATTTTTTATAGGCCGAAAATTTTTTGGGCGATCAGGATCTGGGCGTCCGAGGCCATGCCTGTAGCGCGGGCTATAGCACATGAAAATCTTGGAATCAGACGAAATTCCAGTTTTATTGCCCTAAAACACCAAAAATGAGAAACGGTCATGGCAAGGCGATGACTAATGTTCCTTAGGTTGTTATTGATGGGCCGGCAAAATTTTAGGCGATCCGAGTGTGTATGCCCGGGCCCATGCCGGTGGCGTGGGCTATAGCACACGAAAATCTGGGAATAGGGCAGAATTCCAGTTTATGGCCCTAAAACTCCAAAAAATGAGAAACGGTCGTGAAGAGACAATGACTAATGTTCCTTAAGTAGTTTTTATGGTCCGAAAAAATTTTAGGCGATCCAAGTTTGGGCTCCCGTATCCGGCGAAATTTCAGTTGTATTGCCTTAAAACGCCAAACAAAAAAAGGAACGGTTATGGCGAGGTGATGACTATTATTTTTTAGGTCATTTTTCATGGGCCGGAAGAGTTTTAGGTGATCCGGGTCAGGGCATCCAGGCCCACGCTAGTAGCGTGGGCTGTAGCACAGTAAAATCTAGAAATCGGACGGAATTCCAAATTTATGGCCTTAAAATGACAAAAAAGGAGAAACGTTCATGGCGAGGCGATGATTAAAGTTCAATAGACCGTTTTTTAAGGGCCAAATATATTTTAGGCGATCCGGGTCTAGGCGTCCGGGTCCATGTCTGTGGCGTGGGTTATAACACATGAAAATCAAAGAATCAGACGAAATTCCTATTTTATGGCCCTAAAATACCAAAAAAGGAGGAACGGTCATTGCGAGGCGATGACTAATGTTCCCTAGGTCATTTTTGATGGGCGAAAAAAATTTAGACGATCCGGGTTCGGAAGCTCGGGCCCATGTCGATGGTGCGTGGACTATGTCAAATGAAAATCTGGAAATTTGGCAGAATTTTAGTTTTGTTGCAAAAAAAAAAAAAGGAACAGTCATGCCGAGGCGATGATTATTGTTATTAGAATCGGGTGGAATTACAGTTTTATGGCCCTAAAATGCCAAAATAGGAGGAACAGTTATGACGAGGCGATGACTAATGTTCAATATGTCGTTTTGATGGGCCGGAAAAAGTTTAGGCAATCCGGTTCCACGATGGTGGCGTGGGCTATAGCACACGAAAAATATGAGAATCGGGCGGAGTTCTAGTCTTATGGCACTAAAACGCCAAAATAAGAGAAATGGTCATTGCCAGGCGATGACAAATATTTCTTAGGTTGTTTTTATGGGCCTATCAAGTTTTAGGCGATCCCGGTCAGGGCGCATAGCCCACGAAAATTTGAGAAACAGGCGGAATTTCAGTTTTATGGTCCTAAAACACCAAAAATGAGAAATGGTCATGGCGAGGCGATGACTAATGTTCCTTAAGTCATTTTTGATGGGTCGACAAAATTTCAGGCGATTCGGGTCCAGGCGCCTGGGCCCACGTCGTGGCGTGGGCTATAGCATACAAAAATTTAAGAATCGGGTAGAATTCCAGTTTTATGGCCCTAAAATACCAAAAAAGGAGGAACGATCATGGCGAGGTGACGACTAATGTTCCTTAGGTCATTTTTTATGGGCCAAGAAAATTATAGGCGTTCATGGTCCGGACGACGAAAATTTTAAAATTGGTCAGAATTTCAGTTTTTTGTCACTAAAATGCCAAAGAGAGTAACAGTCATGCCTAAGCCATGACTATTATTCATTAGGTTATTTTTTATGGCCCCACAAAATTTTACGCGATTCGGATCTGGTAGCCCGGATTCATGCAGATGGCGTGGACTTTAGCATAAAAAAATTGAAAATTGGCCATAATTCCAGTTTTTTTGCCCTAAAATGCCTAAAATCGAGGAACGGTCATGCCGAAACCATGACAATTGTTCATTATGTCAATTTTTATGGCCCTGCAAAATATTAGGCTATTCGAATCTGGTAGCCCGGATTCATGCAGATTGCGTGGACTACATCACTCACATATTTGAAAATCGGCCCGAATTTAATTTTTTTGGCCCAAAAATGCCAAAAAGAGAAACGGTTATGCCGAAGCCATGATTATTGTTTATTAAATCATTTTTATGGCCCTGCAAAATTTTAGGCGATTCGGATCTGGTAGCCCGTATTCATGCAGATGGCATGAACTATAGCACACGAAAATTTAGAAATCGACCCGAATTCTAGTTTTTCTTAACCTAAAATACCACCAAAAAAAACAAGGAACAGTGATCTCGTAGCCATCCGCAATTTTTTGATAGTCTTTCTCCTTGATAGAATTGATCCTTAATGGGATTGTTCATGACTTATCATTAGATTGAACCAGTGACGGGTATTTTAGGCAAATGGAAAATGGGTACCATCTTCATAATAAGATATAATTTGATCTCATACAAAAATTATTACTTTGAATTATAAGACCTCAGGTTATTGGTTATTTTAATAAATAAATAAAAAACATACCACATCAAAATAGAGTTCCAAAATCCAAACAAACAATGCTTTGGGATTTTGGTTATGAAAAGTCATTGCTTTTTCTTTTTTTCTATTAAATCGTGCATGTTTTTCCTAGACTGTTGGCTTGTCTAAAGACCTTCACCCCCTAAAATACCTCACATTCTTCTTATCCTTACGATTGAGCTGAGTTTTGCAGTTTCTTATGAAAATCTATATTTAATATTTTTTTATAAAAATTTATATTTAATATTTTTCCGCGGCAGGTATGAATACTTGTATATTTAAATGGACTATATGGTTTCAGTCTGCAAAATTGGCAGTTCACTGAGCAATTATTTATTTTTCATCATTAAAAATAATTTCAAAAATTTACCTTGCAGAGTTCACTGGCCTGTTTCATTGACAAATAAATACTGCAAAAGTTGATCAGATCAGAGCACTCAAATGCATCGACTTTTGCAGTTATTTTAGTGCCGAAAAATAATTTTACATTAGTTAAAGAATTGTCAGCTTCTACAATCATATTTTTAAGCTCTTGTTAATCACATTATTTTTAAGAATTGTCAGCATCGACTAAATGACGTCTTAGTATAGAAGTTTGAATCCTTTACCATTTTGTAACCCAAAATTTTACTATTACTTTTAATCAAGACTAGATTTTGGAAAGAAAAATTATTTAAACAACAATATAAATGACTATACAATATTAAATATTTGAAATATTGGAAAATCAATTGGATAATGTGGGAAACGAATGATCCCCATACAAATGACGATTGTGTATAAAATATATTATACAAATATACAAAAATATACGTTTTGCCGGTATTATTTTATATATATGTTTTGCCAGGTTATTATTTTCAGAAGCGGACTTAGAATTTGAACCTTATGGGTTCGGGATTATAATCCATTTAATTTACTGCATTCTAAATTAATAATTTGTACATATTTATTAGATTTCTTAATACAAATACAAAATTTGAATAAAAGCTATTGGGTTCGGCCAAACCCGCAATCAACACTGTAGATTCGCCCCTAATATTTCTGGGAGCGGCTATACAGTAAAAAATTTTCAGTATTAGGGCAGATCGCTCAACAATAATTACATGCGCTATAAACTCGAAAATGTTATACTCGAAAAATAATTCTCAAATTTTTGGCTTACATACCATTCACAAAAACAATTAGAGAAACAGGGAACATATCTACCCTGAATCAGACACAACCAAAGGGAGTTTGAAAGTAAAGAAAGTAACAAAAACAAAATGTTTGGGAAACACAATATAATTTTGTTACTTTCAAAAAAGACAAAAATCCAGACACAATATTATCTTACATGATCACAATAGGTCAAGAAATGAAATATTTCATGGAAAATTCGCACTCAATTTAGTGCCCCATTTAAAAAAAGCCTCTAAGAAAAGTAGCAAAAAAAAACAGAAATAAATCACTCCTAAATTCACATGCAGCTAAAAAACAAAATGCCAAATTATTAAACCAAAGAAGAACACAAAATAAATTGCAATACATTGTATGATTTGATGATAAATAGAGTACACTTTCATAGAACTTCCCTATGTACCACATTCTCATATCCCACATCCCCATTCCCCCACTCCATCATATCTTATTTTTTTTCGGAATAATTTCACGGATAATTATTCAACTTTTATGTTAAAGATAATTGGCTCGATTTTTCATGTATATATCTATATTTTTTTATTTTTTTAAAAAAAAATGATTGATATACAAGTAGTGACACAATATATATANTAACCTTGGAATTCTAAATCCGCCATTGATTCAAGGTCTTATTAATCTACATAACTAAAGAAAATCACTGCCAACAAGCTATAATCACTCAACTATTTGTTGTAATGAAAAATTATTCAATTTCGTGAAATCACTAAATTATTTGTTTACACGTAGTTATAATTTAATGTCGCAGTGGATTACCTGCTTTATTTTTCAAAATATTGTTTTCACTTGATATGAACAGATGAACTGTACTCCCTCCGGTCCACAATAAATAATTTTTTGATATTTTATTTGTGATCCAAAATAAGTAACCTCTATTTATCTTTTAGGTAATTAAACATTATAAAAATTATTTTACACTTTAGAGAATAAAAAGTTAACATGTACGAAAAAAACTAAACAGCCTATGCTAATTCTGCTATGTTGTCCTACTCAAGCAAGTATAAACCTAGTAATTTCACCTACTAGCTTTTGTTGTGTCGCCATCTCTCTGTTGAACTTCCCCACAATCAAGATCCAAATTTCGAAAAAAGAAAAAGAAGACAAAAATTGAAATAAAAACAAAAGGGGAAAACAATAACTATTTAGCATAAAATTGATGTTTTTAATTCCCTTTTTAATGCATATAAAACAAACAAAATGAATATCTTTGAGCAACTGCATCAAGTAGTAATATATTGCTGATGCTGCATCATTAAATTTAATTGTATTTTTTTTTCTTCTTAAAAAGAGGCCAAAGATAAATATAATTAATCCCAAATTTTCTACAATAACAATAAAAACCAAAAGGCAATGTAGAAAATTAAAGTTAAAATCAAGATCAAAATGATATACAAAAAGGTACCATTAAGAGAAAGATTGAGCCGTCCCCGCCAATATCACCACCACAAACCACCACCCTCCGCCGCCAACCATCACCGTCAGCCGCCGTGAATCAAGAACAGATGTAACAACACTTGGAGAAATCCATCTCAAGCAGAAAAAGTTGAAATTTTGAACCCATACAGTAGCTGGAAATAAAACCAACTATCTGCATTTGCATTTGCAGTTGATATACTAACATTGTCTTGAAATCTACAGAACCAAAATCCACTGAATCCTGCATTGCACACAAGGTGTTTGATTTTTTTCCCCACTCCTTTTTCTTCAGCTTACAGCACCAGAATAAAGTCCTACATAGTATTAGGACAAGAAAAAAGATGAGATTTTTGAAGCTTCCCATCTTCAAGAAACTTAAATGGGTCTCTCATTTTGTCTTTTTTGGTGCATTTTGGGTCACATGAATGAACAAACTTGAACCAAGAGAGGTAAAAACTTGGGCCTTGAAATGGTGAGAAGGTAAACTTATCGGTTCAACTAATTTAGATTCGCATAGTAAAAAGTCTACTATTAGAGTTTAACCGCTCCCAATCAAAAAGGACTTTATTTCACGATATTTCACCGTACCCTTTCATGAATAGTTTCTCTTTGTTTTCTTCTCTCCTATAATGGTTTTTCAACAGGGGACTTTATTTTGATGAGAAGTATTGTCCTAACCTTAAAATCAGTAAGTAAAAATGTCTTTCAGTTGTTGTAATGTACTACTGAGGTCTATAAGGAATTTAGGGGTAGGAAGAGAAGGGGGCAAAAGAAGAAGAGAAAGAAGCTTAATGAGACAGCTCAGAACATAGAAATGTTTTGCATTGTGTGTGTCTGTGTGTTTGTAAATGTCTATTCCCAACACAGTGAACGTTTGTCTTAAACAACATAATGAAGCCAAGTAAATGATAGTACATGAAAAATAGTGTTTGCTTTTGTGTGTACGGTTTTTTGGGCATGGGCTTGACATTGATTACCACTAAAACCCCATGTCCTAAATTCCACCAAGTTCCTAAAGTACATAAGATTAGATACTAAACAACTTTAAAGATTCTAGGCGGGTATGAGTCGCTTTGTTCGTCAAAATTTAAGCAAATAATAAAATGTCTGGAAAATTATGTATGTATGTATATGTATATAGAGTTTAAGTCGAAAGTAACGATTACCTTTACTTGAATCTACAAAACTCGCTCTAAATCTATATATGTCAAATGCAGCTTCAAGATTTTATAATTTATGGATTCCTACGATAATATTAAATCAATACACTATAATAACTAGGTTAACAGTTAAATATTTAATGAATTTTATTGATGCATATACAAAAATCTAGACAAATACTATTGGGCTCTCTTGAACTGGATTTACCACTATTTGTTACATCCTCCCACCCACAAAACTTCTCAAAGAGAGTAAATGTTGTCACTTAACCTCTACTTTTCACCTCCAAGAAAACACCCTTGGGTCAATTTCCCAAAGCAAAACAAAGAAATAAAAGCAATTGAGAGGAAACCCACTTTTTCACTTCATACCTTACTTGCCTCAAAAGTCCAATTCCCAGTATATCTAGATTTGCACAAGCAATCTCTGTCTTATTTTCTTTCCTTTATTTAACCTTCATTAATGACAAATTGTTCTTTCTACCCTCCCTAGATGCTGATGCAGATTACAGATTCAAGAAGGGGGAGGTTCAAAAAATAATTTTGGTACCGTTGGTATAAGATTAATCCTGAATATAGTATATAAAAATAGTAATCAGGTAGTATATTATAATGCTGAAATTATTTTATATCGACCCTTTGATTTTGGTATAATACTAAAGATTTTTAAAAAATAGTTATGACTTTATACATATTTATTCATATACTAAAAATTAAGATATATATTATTAATATCATGTTTTGCTCAGTATAAGAATAATATTGAATAAATGTATAACTAATACATAAGTTAAAGAAAAAACTAGTATCAAACAAGGATTAATAATATCAAAACTATTACTAGTACATATATTATCTTTCCTAGTAAATATATTATTTTTCCTAGTGTTATTAAAAAATTGCATTATTTTAATAACACTAATTCAAACTGTATTTTTGCAGCTTTTGTGTAATGTATATTATATGTAGTACAAGTATTTTATGAGGGAAGACCTGACTCTACTGACTAAAAAGGGCATCAACTTCAAGAAATCAATTTTCTGATTTTTTTAAAGATTTTTACCGTTTAGTTTTTTTATTTTATATAATTTCTTTATGTTTCTCGAGACTATCACCAAAGAAAACTAACACCCACCTTACCCAAGAATACTGTTTTTGTGGCCTAACATTCGTTTGTGGAAGGTGTTTATAGCGGCTAAAACAGATTTTTAATTTGCTGCTTTTCCCAATAATAACTTGGTTTGTTGACTCCTTTTAGTCAAATTATCAAATATAATAAGTGTCTGTGGGCCCCAAGTTTTCAAACTTGGTGGTCCCACTAACTTTCAATTTTTCAGTTTACCTTTTAAACACTGATAAAGTAAATATTTTATTACATTTATCACGTCATTAAGGGCTAGATAGTGCACAAAGCATTCCGCATTCACGCAAAGTCCAAAGAAGAGTCGCACCGATTGTGCATAATTTGGTAATTAACATACCGAAACTGAAAATTTTGGTATTTGATATTTTGGTATTCGGTATGGTATTTGGTTTAAATTTTAAAAAAAAAAATTGGCATTAGATATGGTATTTGATACTTTATAATGAAATACCGATATATCAACATCGTACCGAAATATATATTATATTACACAATACATATATTATAAATTACTCTCTCCATTTCAATTTAGATGAGTTAGTTTGACTCTGCACGAAGTTAAAGAAAAAAAGAAGACATTTGAAACTTGTCGTCTTAAAAGCTTAAGGGGTAAAAGCTTTGTGGAACCATGACATTTATGCGGTTATAAAAACTTTTCATTAAGAGTAAATTGGGTAAAATAAAGAGTTTAAAGTTAAATTATTTTCAAATTTAAGAATATGTCATTTGTTTTGAAACAGACAAAAGGAAAAACCTCATCTAATTTGAAACAGAGGAAGTATATCTCTAAGTTCATCAATTAAGTCTAAGTAACGAGACATTTCTAATGATCAAATTTATTCCTTTTTGTATAGTTTTTTCTCTCTGGGTTGATATTTACTGGTTTTGGATCAAATTTATTTCTTTTGTCAACAAACGTTTTTAGCTTTGTACTTTTGAGTACTTTAATTACGAATATTAGAGTCTATGGCTTTAAGCACTAGTTAGTATTCAAACTGAATAAACCGAAGTTATCAAACCGAATAAACTGAAACTGAACGAAGAAAATCGAACCATACCGAATTTAATTAGGTACAGTATTGGTATAACATTTTAAGAAATCGAATACCGAAAATGCCGAACCGAAATGTCTAAATATCATACCGTACCAATCGACGAACACCCCTAACCCTAAGGAGATATGATGTAGGCAGTCTACTCTGATGCAAGTATCAGTGGTTGATTTCACGACTCGAACCCGTGACCTATAGGTCACACATAGACAATTTGACTATTGCTCCAAGGCTCCCTTCACAACTATCGAGTCATCAAAAAATTAATTACAAGTAATGGTTTATAATATAGAATTAATAACCTGTAAAAACTAAGATAAGTTTCCTGATACAATATGTTAAAATACTTTAAAAGTAAAAAAAAAATTATGTAGCTATCAGTCTATATAAGTGTAAAAAAATTAAATATATTTTGGTAGGGTGTTCCCGAGACCCCCACTACGTGAAATTACACTAAGTTAATTTGTTGTTGTTGTTGATAGGGTGTGAAGAGGGCCTTGGAGTAATATTTAAATTATTTACGTGTGACCTATAGGCCACAGGTTCGAACCGTTAAAGTAGCTACTAATTCAAAATACGATATGTATATCACAAGCCTTGAAATACGGCTCTCCCACAAATCTTACAAGAACATAATACTATAATTTATGCAGTGGACTACCGACATTTTGGTAGGGTGACAACAGTAAAAGGGAAGGTGTAAGATGAGAGTGGGGTAACTCCAGAAAATAGATGGATAAAAATTTAAGAAGACTGGCCATGTTTGTTGGTTTTTCCTACCCATTTTTAATTGAATATCTGCTAGAACAGTTTCAACAACTGGTGGTTCATTTATTATGATGTGAATAACTCCTATATTTATTAGGGTTCTGTCTTGATTGGAAACTTGTCTCACTTAGGTCAAGTAGAAACTTGTCTCAATTCCCGTCCCAATTTATACTCGGGTCAAGATTGGATAGTGAGGCGATAGGGGATAAGCTTTATAATATCATCGAAGGAAAAATAACCTAAATCACCAGCTAAGGCCTCTAAATAATCGCTTAGTGATAAAGGATGTAGAGGCGCAGAAATAGCTAGGAGGATTGCCGAGAAGTAGTCACTCTTGAAAGAGTGCGTAATAACTTGATGATCAATCGCTCTTAAGCTGAAGATGAACGGGGCTAAACGATCCGTTGAAGTTGTAGGATATAAAAATATACATCGGTAGGGGAAAGTGATAACGTTTGATTTGATTCGAAAATTAAGAGAAAATATTATTAATTAAATATAATTTAACATAAATCTTAGATACTATATGATTATAAATTATTTCATTATTGGACGAAATTTCAATTATTCAAATTGATTGGTAAACTAGTGATCCCTCTTCTTCTTTTACTTGTTACTTTTGCCACTAGCAAGTAACTTTCAGACACTATTCATACTACTAGAGAACAGTAAGGAGACAGAATGGTGTATGGATAGAAAAAGTCAGAATTGTGAAGAATAAAACTTTTGCATTTTTTCAGCCTAAACTATGCACACAAAGGAGAAAATAGAAATATATCTAAATTAATGAAGAAGCATGGTAAATGACAACAATAACAATAATAACAAACTCAATAAAATTTCGTAAGTGAATTTATGGGAGAATAGTATATACATAGACCTTTATCTCTACCTTCCGAAGATAAAAATATTATTTCCGATAGATCATCGACTCAAGTAAATAATAACGATCCTAAAATACACATCCTTCTAATGAAAGAGAAAGAGAAGGTATTACGAGTGGAAGTAAAATAGGGTTACGATAATGAGGTGGCATGCCATGTACGATTTTTATACGGCGTCCATGGATAGAGCTAGTATGTAAGATAGGGATTCGGCTGAACCTACTTTGATCGAAATATTATATTTTTGTTTTAAAAAATTCACTGAATATCTATAAATTATTAATTTATAATTCAGTAATTTAAGAAATCGTTTGGTTATCAGATAAATATACTAATCCCGAAATAAAATTTTGAATTCTATTTATCTCATGTTTGATTATAGATATTAGATAATATTGCTATAAATATAATATTGGTATAAATTTTGTATAATATTGGTGGTATATCTCATATGGGATAACAATCCTAGGATTGTTGATCCCCGAATTTCCCACTTTCAACAAAGATTAAAAGAATTAGAATCTCAAACTCATAAGTTTCAAATCCTAACTCTATTTCTAGTTAGATCCCAGCTACCGTAGACCTCCACTATAAATATGTGATAAAAATAGTACTCCCTTACGAGGCATCATTCAGATTTCGAGAGTCAAACCTTTTAATTTTAATCGTAAATTTAGATAGAGAGTCTTTAAGTTTTTTTGAAATTAAATTTACATATTTGAAACTACAAAAATTACCACGAATTATAATAATTAACAATTCAAAGTACTTAAAAGACATGAAAAATTACGGTCAAAGAAAAATTCATTTGGCTCTAATAATTCGAATGGTGACACATAAATTAGAACAAAGTGAATAATAATAAAGAGTTTTTTTTGTTATAAAACTTAAACCGGGATTATATAGACAATATTAAAAGGTAGGTGAGTAAATTTGGATAAGAAAATTAAAGAGAGATAGGGAAGTTGTGGATAAAAGGGAGGAAAAAAAAAAGGAAAGAAATGCGAGAAGTTAGAACTAAGAGCATGATATAGTAATTGATTGCTAGTTTTACCCCAATAACGTGGACTTTCCGCCGCGAATTCATATTTAGTCGGGCACTAATGTGGGTATCGGACACCGAGTGAAAAACCAAAAAAAACAATTGATTGCTAGTTTAATACTACCAATTCTCATATACCAAAGCGGAACTCAAGAAAACGATAGAAGCTCAAAGATTATACAAAGCAAAGAACCCTATATAGAGAAACCAAAAAATAGACACTAATGGAGATCTTAGACTGAATTCTCTATTTTATATTCAGATAAAAAGAAAGAAAAAAACTAAATAAGTAATATGCACAGATATCAATCGTTTTCACAACAGATTTTTCACAGATCAAACCCTACTTTTCTGCATTTATCACTGCCATCTACAACATGTATTGTATACTTTTTCAAGCTCTATATATCTTCACTTTAAACTTGACGAGTTTAACATTTAATGTCATAACATTTAACATATTATAAATTTTATAATTATAGATTCAAGATATGATATTTGTTGAGATATTAGTGAAAATCGCCAGATGGTAAAGGAAGGCGTCATCTCCCCTTTCTCATCCAATCACAATAACCGTACAGTCGAATAGTTGAGTTAGACTGAGATAATGGTCAAACTATCAAAGAGTCCGGCCAATGCCCGATTCCCCGACCCATTACTCATTCCTTCCCGACTCAATATAGTGTGTGTATATATATCAACATACACACACATTCCTATGTTACATGTTGAAAATACGCATAATATGTATATAAAATTTTAATGATTCAAAAAGAAAGTGTAAAAGAGAAATGAGGAGTACCTTTCATATTTCCATTAATAGAGGCAAGAAACTTATGCATTGAGCCATAACAAGCTTTCTTATTGATTACAAAACTTATTGTGTTTGGACACTGAGAAAAGAAATAGTAGAAGAAGAAAGAGGAGAAAAAAAAGAATATATAAAGAAAATAATTGATAAGAAAATGAAGGGACAAAATAATCTTTGGAAAAAGAAAAAGGGTTGCATATCTTTTACACTTTATACAGTGGAATTGATTTTCTTTTTGTTATTCTATGAAACTTGGGATTTTTACTTTTCTTTCTTTTTTCCTTCACTTTCCTTTAAAACCTGGAGAATTAAAAAGCTGACAAGAGATTGAGAAGCTTTTTGGAGAAGATGCTTTTGCAGATTTGTAGTCTGAGGAAAGTTGAGCAAATGGAAGTTAAAAGAAATAAATTAATTTGTGCAAACTGGATCAAAAGTTATGCATCTTTTATATTTTCAGCAGACATTATTTTTGAGAAATTTATATATTTAGCCGTTTCAAAAAATAATAGCCGATAAAATATATAATTTTGTATATATATATATATATATATATNTTAGTTTCGGTTTACCGTCCAATTTTATATTTTGCCTTATTATTTTATGTATCATAAACTTATTTTGAAAATTATATGCACATATGTAATGGGGAAAATTAATTTTGGAACTTCGAAGATTGGGTTAATTGTCATGGAGTAATTTCAAAATTAATAGTCGATAAAATATATAACTTTTTGTATAAATGTATATTATATACATACAATATACACATTTAATACACTTTTTGGCTAATGAATGCAATTAGTTTCAGCTGACCGATCAATTTTATATTTTGCCTTATTATTTTTTGTATCATAAACTTATTTAGAAAATTATATGCATAGATTCAATGGGGAAAATTGATTTTGGAACTCGAAGATTGGGTTAATTGTCATGGAGTAATTTCAAAATTATAGTAAAATCATTCTTGTTATTTTGTATTTTTTTTATTATTATACAGGCATGATTATGAGGAAACAAAAAAAAAGTTATGTTACTGATGAGGTTTAATGCGCAAGCTCAGATGGAGAATAGAGGAATTTACCCCAAAAACAAAAATAGACTATAATAAATTGAAAAAACATGTTATGTTACTGGTGAGGTTTGACGCATCACCTCATATTTAAAAGGGAGGAAATTCAATAAAAAAAAAAATGATCTGAATTTACTCTTATTTTCTACTGTCATATGCCCTTACCATAAAGTTTTGAAACAATTAATAACTCAGATTATGAACTAATTTGACCTACTTTTAATTCCAAAATTGGCTATTCTCAATTGCAGAATATGCAATGATGAAATAGAGATTGGATATGTGAACTTTAAATTACTCGATCTTTGAAAAGAAAGACAGACAAAAAGAGCAAAAGCAAATGAAACTCAACCAATACATAGAAATTAGAAACCAAAGCCTACAAATTTGGATAAAGCATCGAATCTATATATCTTAGACATAAAAATGAGATAGTTTTTTTTTGTCCGATATTTATTGTGTGGCAACTGACTAATCCATATTCATATTACATGAGCCGAGGTGGATCCAGAATTTAAAAGTATCGGGACACATAAGTGAACTGTTCAACCTGTGCCTCATCAAACTCTTAATCTTAAGTGTTTCATGCAAAATATATAGTCGTTTCAACATATATATATATATACATACATATTTTGAATTTTTTGTCAAGATAATCAACGTCCAGTAACCACTCTTCTTTGTATATAGGTGCGACTTTGTGCGTGAGGCTCGTTAAAGGGGAAAGAGTGTCCTATTCAAATTTTTTTTATTCTTAATAGTTAATACCGGGACTCAAGATTTCTGGTTAAAATAAAGATTTTATCCATATCATCACAATATTTAGGGCTAAAAATAAAATAATTATATCTTTGGAAATGGAGAAAGTATTCATTCAAAAAGAAATAGAAAAAGAAAAGAAAGCAAAGCAAGAAAAAGTAACGATTGGCCCAAAAAGCCATTTCAGAACTTTTCATAATCAAAACACTTTTCTTTAGTAATCTTTTATTGCTTTATAAGTAATGAGTAGTAGTAAAAACATTTGGACCACTCGCACACTAGAACCTGCAGTAGGATATGTAGTCAATGTTAAAAAGCAGCCGTTATTTCTGACGTTAATTGAAAAAACGAATTATTTTGAAAACTAAAGGATTTAAAGGGTGTGATCTTGAGGGTTGTGCATGGATTGGATCGGATTCGGATTTTGGATTCTAATCTGATCCGAATTAATATCGCATCGCATCAGATTTTTTAAAGTTTGGATCGAATTTTTAAATTTCGGATCGGATTATTATGCATCAAAGTTGCAAACTCATATATATATTTTCTTTGTAAAAGAGACAATACAGTAAGAAAAATTCATGTTTCTGCAATTATGAAAGTACTATGGTGTCAATATAGCTAAATCCAACAATTCTAAAGGTAATAACTTGGATGAAGATGTAAAGGAAGTAGTGACTATCCGAAATTAAAGTTTAATATTTATACATGCCCTAATAATTTCGGATTTCAGATCGGATCGGGTTATAATTATATCAATCTGAATCTGATCCGAATATCAGAAATTTTAATAAACACAATCCGAAATCCGAAAATATTAGGGCATGTATAAATATTAAAGTTTAATTTCGAATAGTCAGTACTTCCTTTACACCTTCCTCCAAGTTATTACCTTTACAATTGTTGGATCGGATCGGATTTTCAGATTTCGGATCAGATCAGATCCGAAATCCGAAATTGAGCGGATCGGTTCGGATTTTGAATATCCGATCCAAATGAACAGCCTTAATCTAGACGTTAATGAAACAAATTAAAATTATGAGCTTTCAAGTTTAATTTAACGGAAACAAAAATAGCATGTGATTTTTTTTATTTGTCCAAATATTAATAGATAAAATTATCCGATATTTATACTAAGGTGAGATAGCAAATCGTGGAATTTATCGAGGTATGCAAAGATATCGCGAGAGGTCTCGGGTCGAACCCTAAGTATGAAATCGTCTTTATTTGTTCGCTTTATCTCATAATGTAAGATTTTTCGGTTCGAATCCTTATGCAGTCAGATCCCAATACGAGTAACTAACATCAAGTGAGCAACTAAAAAATAAAAAATTTAAGGACAAAAGAAAATAAATTCGAGGTAAAGTCATATGTGGGTAAAGATGATTTTGATATGATTAGATCACGTTATAGATAAGACTGTGACCACGTTGCCATTCTCTTTTCTTTTTTAGGTCACGTGAGCTACAGTCTCTCACTTTATCTTTTTGGAATGGTGAGATTTTGTAAAATTATGTTAATTTATTGAATTCTATAATTATATGAAAGAATAATTTTTTTCAGTTTTAATTCTTTTCTTCCTTTGGTCAAGCTATTAGAGTAATATCATCAATCTTTTGCCAACTAGTGGAAACTTTAGAATAATTACTAATCTTATTTCTCTTTCATTCTTATTGAATATCGAATAAAGTAAATTTATACAGATAAATTCAACTAATTTGAGATGGAAAGATAGTAATTGTAACTGTATTTAAGAAAAAAGATAAGTACATAGTATTTTTGCCGGATTATATGCATCGTATAACCTTTTTTGAGGCCACTCGTTAAATGATGTCCTCGTTAGCCTGATGAGTTAAATTTCGCTTTTAAAAGTAGTCATACTAATTTTTATTTTTGAAGACAAATTTAGCCAATTGGGTTACAGAGATAAAATTTAAATAGTGGTCTCAAAAAGGCCATTTGTGCAAATGACCATTTTTGCCATGGTATCAGAGGCCCATGCTTTGGAATTGAAGAACTAACCTAAATAGCAGCCCACCCAATCACTTAAATTTGAAATAGCCGGTGTAGGTATGACATATGCATAATTTATATATTATATGTGTATAATTGTGTATATAGTATATGGCTAGAAAAAATAAATAGTGAATATGACAAGCTATTTGTGTAAAGATCCTTTTGGAATTAACATCAAGCGAATCTAAAAGCCCACTAAAGCAAGCTTAGGCCCATCAATTAGGGCTTTGAGGAGGAACAAATAGGAGCTTTTATCATTGTTGGCCGCTCGAGCCAAACTTTTAACACCCACTAGCCAGAAATAAATTTAGCAGCCACTAGCCGACGTTTTATACACCAAAAACTAACTATTGCTCAAGTAGTAGGCTCGTCTGCACCTACTACAATCTTCTATATATATCAATTGGTTTCTTCAAGAAAATATTTTATTAAAATTTTCTTGCCCTTTACTTCTATGCGGAAGGAATGGTGATTATAGTACCACCTTATGTAGGTATTAATATTTTAAATTGGGAAATTGTGAGTTTCGTGTATAAAGTTGATAGAATGGGAGGGTGCCCAATATCTAGAAAGATATGTTCTAGATTTATTTATTTATTTATTTATTTAATACACAATAATATGTTCTTCACTCTTTAAATCAAATACCCCTTTACGTGCAAAGAACGTAAATATACATTCAAATAAATACTATATAATAGATATAAATTGTCAATAACTATCATCATTGTAATTTTTNAAAAATATATTAAATATACTGTCACTATATAATTTATATGCACTAGACTGTCATTATACAAAATATATACAAAATAGATTGTCACTATACTAAATATATACTAAATAGACTGTCATTATACAAAATATATACAAAATAGATTGTCACTATACTAAATATATACTAAATAGACTGTCATTATACAAAATAGACTGTCACTATACAAAAAATATACAAAATAGACATTTCGGGCTATTAGATGTAATATGTTTGGGCCGAAGGGCCATTTCGTATAAGTGAAAAAAACATGGGCTATTAAAATTTTAAGGGGCTACAAGGAGTAATTTTCTCAACAAATAGTAGGAGGTTGGACTTCAAACCAAAATTATTTATCAAAAAGTCACAATTTGAATCCCAAATCTTTCATAAATTTGCAATCCAGCCCAATAGTTTAGAATCATACCAAACCACAGACAAGAAAATTTATTTTATTTTCTTTTTTAATGCGATTCAACTATT